GAAATTTATACAGAAAGATAAATAAAACTTTCTTCCCCCATACCTCATCACGCTTCAAAGATTAAATAGACAAATGCAGTGCATAATGAGCATCTTTAGTTTTTGTATGTGAGTTGCAGAGAGGAAAAAAATGGGAGGGGAGGAAGGGACAAAAATACAGAACTTCTTTTGTCTGAATTTAAAATTCTGCTAGAATAAACGGAAAAGACAAAAACTGTGGGTTTTCTCCTCACTCCTCCAAGCCCTTTTTGAATTCATGACTTCTTCCTTTGACCCTTTTTGTCTCCTTAAGCATGCAACTCTGTAAAAAAATTTTGTTTAACATGTCTCAAAATGTGGAACTACACTTGATGAAGTTGTGGAAAACAATATGTGCTTTTAGAAACTTTTAAGAGAAAAGAAAGTTGATTTTGGACTGAGTCTTATACAGATCACCTACCTAAACCTTTATTAGTATTCAGGTGGCTGAAACAAAAATTGATGGTGTCTAGTATGTGTCATTATTTTCTATTTTCAGACAATATCTAAAGAAAAATAAGTGCAAAAGTGCTGCTGTTTCACAAAACTAGTACACTAGGAAAAATCTTGATGCAAAACAAAGATCTTTGGTTAAGAGCCTATGATACACCACTCCGCAGAATGTACTGCAGTGAAAGGTCTGTTCCCAGAAAGAAGACACCCTTTAGTTTGCTAGTAAAGAGATCCTCTTAAAGATTTTTCTCTGTATTTTCCTTATGCCCCTTTTTTATATATATTGCAGAAAACATGTGCAGTAAAAAACTGCTCTGTGCAGTATTTTAGCATTTGATATTAGTAGCTTTTCTGCAATTTTTACTTTGTTTTTGTTTATATGCATATTACAACTCTGTACATTTTTTAAAGAGGCAAGTATTTTCTTATTTATTCCTAATAGAATAAAACAATATTTTTTCTAAAAATGAGGAAAATATATGTGTTGTAGTCTAGAGCATAGCGGAGCAGAAGAATTCAGGATGTAATGGAAAGTTAGCAGACCCCCCTCTCTGTTAGGATAGTAAGGCCTTCTGCAATTAGCCAATAGCACCTAACGATGACAAAAGCAGATGGGAGTAACACAATGACCCTAGGTTATAGAATGTTAAATTCCCCTGCAATAAACACCATATTCGCCATCCATCACATTGATGCTGTGGGTTGTGGTCCGTGCGGCTGAAGATAGCCACCGTGCTGGCTCTGGCCAGGGTGCCTGCCTTGCTTGAAAACCATCATATGGTGCCTAAAACCCAGGAAGAAAAGTGGGAAGAAACGTGGCAAGAAACCCAGAAAGCAAGGATTCTCTGGATCACCGAGCAGCGGCCAAGATAGCTGGACTAATCTTGGCGAGAAAGATCCTGGGCCCAGAAGGAAGATAGAATCATTGATAAAGGTCATATCTGAATTATATAAGCAGTGGGGGGTAGATTGTAAATCTAAGGATTTTATGCTTGCTGTTACACAGCTTTTACAAATTGGAGTTATAGAGCAGCCAGTGGACATTCTTCACCCTGAGGTGTGGGAGAAATGTACCAGAGCTCTGGCTAATGAAACTGTAGATTCTGGTAATATGAAACATTTTAAGTCATGGGGTAAGGTCGTTAAGGCCTTGAAAAAAGCTAGACAAAAGCAAGAAACCTGGATGGCAGCAAAAGACTGTCTCTTGGTCACCCCAAAACTCGGAGTCAGTGCTACAACACAAACTTTAGAGCCTCCAGATGAGAGCAGCTCAGCTGAGCAGAAGGGGACACAGGAGGATGATATGCCCCCTAAAACCCCAAACCCTGAGCTGCCCTCAGAGGGGCAACAGAAAGCAAGAGATTTTTGGAGAAAGTTAATGGAGGAAGCCAGAAATGTAGCAAGGAGGGTAGGGGGAGAAGCATCCCCCCAAGGACTTAAAGATGGCGCTGAGAAAAAAGTTATAGAGCGGGAAAAAAAAAAGTCTTTAACAAAGAACAAAAGCTGGCCTTGGAAGATGAGCATGGTCGGGGGGTTGAGAGAGATAAGAAATGTGGAGAAGAAAGTGGGGGATGGGTACAGAATGATTGGAATGCAAAGGGAGGAGGAAGAAGGGAGAACAGGGGGCAGAACAGAGCCCAGAGTGAGGGGCGGAGGGAAAGGTGGAGTGATAGGTGGAGTGGAGGGTGAAACGAAAGGCATGGAGTACCAGGAGGGAGGGAACAGCCCGCCCACGGGGGTGGCAGGCGGGGCCGGAGCCCAAGAAAAAGGCATGGGAAACAGGAAGTAGCCAGCCAGTCGAGCTCTGACTCTGATCTTAATACGAGTGACGAAGGGTCAGAGCCCAAGTCCTCAGAAGAGGAAACAATAAAGATAAACAAGAACATCCCCCCCCCACATTAAAAAAGAACTGAGAGAGGACACCCCTATCACAGACTGGGTACAGATAAGAGCAGAATGTGCCACCTGGGTTGCCCCAGATGTGTTAGTATTCCCAGTCAGGGTGTCTGACGGGGGGCAGAGGGTTTAATCACCAATAAATCCTAAAGAAGTTAAAACGATTGTTAAAGCAGTTTCAGAAAAAGGGCTTAATTCAGCCATGGTCACCTCCCAAACCGATGGTCTTTTTGGAGGTAACGACCTGCTCCCTTTTGATATAAAACACATTTGCAGAATGCTTTTTGATGGAGCAGGGATAATTGTTTTTAAACAAGAATGGGAAGACACCTGTGCCAGATACCTAGCCCAAATAAATGGAGCAGACCATCTACTACATGGTTCCAGCTTGCCACGGTTAATGGGCACAGACCCAGCCATGACTACACCTCAGGCACAAGCCCAGGGTATGCGAGCCTATGAAGTTATGACAACCACTCGTGCGGCCAGAGAGTGACCTCACGCTCGGCCTCTAGAGTTGTTGCTAAGCCATCACCATGGGCTACCATAAAGCAAAAAGAAAGTGAGAGCTTTACACAATTTGTAGACCGCCTTCAGGTAGCTGTTGACTCCTCTTCCCTGCCCCCAGAGGCAAAAGGCCCAGTCATGGCAGACTGCTTACGACAGCAATGCAATTTGACAACCAAGGAAATCCTCCAATCACTACCGGCAGGGGCAAATATCGCAGAGATGATTAAACATGTCGCGAGGGAGGAACAGGCAGTTTCGATTCAAACTGCAATCTGCACAGCAGTTGCTAACGTGCTGGCGTGTTTCAAATGCGGTCAGGCAGGTCATGTTGCTGCAAATTGCAGAAAGGGGGGGCCCTGGCAGCGCCCACCTCACAGCAGAACCAGTTTAAAGGACCATGCTGGGCTTGTGGGAAAAAGGGGCACCTTGCCAGAGAATGCAGATCCAAGGCTCAGGGAAACGGGAGGGGGAGAGGACAGCAGGGCCGCATCCAGTTCTCTCCCACTTGGGATGCGAGGCGGCCCAGCTATGCCAATCCTGCAAGAATCGAGCTGCTCCTGAACCCATTACCCCCCCGAGAGGCAACCACTTTTGTAACCCAGCCAGTTGCTCAGCCAACCCTGCCTTATCTGCACAGGGACAGCAGGGATCACATTTGGGGGACAGGACCCCTGGGTGGCCCTGGCAGTAAGGTGTGACAACCCACCGGTGGTATGGGGGATCTGCACTCCTTATGACACCTCAGGTGATCAAAGTATCCCCTCTGGGTCCATCAGTGTTCCTTTTCTAATTGGTACAGGGGCAGATGTCACAGTCATTCCGGAGACAAATTGGCCTCCTCTCTGGAAACTAGAAGATGCCCCCATGGTGGGCGGGGTTGGAGGGCTGTCACGAGCTCGGAGAAGCACACAGCTAATAGCCATTACACTCCACACAGAAAAAGGGCCAGAAAAAACTATTGCCCTCTTCCCGTATGTCATGACAGGAATCCCAGCATTGCTGGGGAGGGACGCCCTAGCCTTGCTAAAAGCCAGGGTGACAGATTTACCCTAAGGGCCACTGCTGTGCACCCACTGCCACCAATCAAGCTTTCTTGGAAATCATCTGACCCAGTGTGGGTCGAGCAGTGGCCCCTGTCCAAGCCTCGATTAGATGCCCTTCTTGAGTTAGTTAACCATGAATTACAACAAGGTCATATAGAGCCATCTACTAGCCCGTGGAATACTCCTGTTTTCGTAATCCCTAAGCGATCCAGAGAAGGATTTCGCCTCCTCCACGATTTACGTGAAGTGAATAAGAAAATTCAACCCATGGGACCTGTTCAAACATTGTTACCTATGAACTCTATGGTACCAGAGGGCCAACCCTGTGCTGTTCTTGATATCAAAGACTGTTTCTTTTCTATACCCCTACATGAAGAAGACAGGGAGTGGTTTGCTTTCTCCGTGGTGTTTCCAAACAGCCAGTGCCCCAACCTACGCTTTCAGTGGAAAGTGCTGCCTCAGGGGATGGTCAACTTACCTACAATCTGCCAAATCACAGTCGACCGAGCGCTGGCACTGATCCGTCATAGCAACTCGACTGCGACCATCATCCAGTACATGGACGACATCCTGATTGCCGCACCCTTGGGAGATAAAGATCCGTCGGGACATCAAAACACTCCATGACGTGCAGCAGCTGGTGGGATCCCTGCAATGGCTCCGCAACATCGTCCTAATCCCACCTGAGAAGATGACCCCCCTGTATGATCTCCTGAGAGGGAAAAATCCATGGGAACACAAAGCCCTGACAGCAGAAGCAATGAACTCTCTTGACTTTATCTAACAGCAGGTATCTTTTAAGTTCTCTCGCCAGGTGGAAGCCCCAGATACCACTCGATCTATACATGCACTTCACAAAGGGAGGGGGGGGTAGGAGCACTGTCTCAAAGCCCCCCAGAAAAAGCTCACCCAATACAGTGGATAGTCCTGGGAAAACATACACGTGCATTTTCCCCAGGATCTGAATACCTCAACAGCCTTATTATAAAAGGCAGAAAACTTGCCCTGAAACATTTTGGCATTGAACCAGCCAGAATATTCTTGCCTTTCCGCAAGCAACTCTCTACACAGTCAACAGTGATGTCAGAATACCTGGCGACAGCCCTGGTTGGGTTCGGTGGAGAGATTCAGTATTCTGCAAAGCCCCCTTGGACTCAGATGCTGGCTGTTGTCGACATAGACCTACCACAAAAGGTCATGGACCGGCCCCAGCCAGGACCAACAGTCTTCACAGATGCATCCTTGACAACCTCCACTGCAGCTGCAATGTGGCAATCAGAGGACGAGTGGCACTGCGTCAAAGCGACTGATCGTACTCTCTCAGTCCAGCAACTGGAAGTAGCAGCTGTAGTACTGGCATGTGGACTGTTCCAAACAGAGCATCTTAACATCGTAACTGATTCAATGTTTGCAGCCAAGCTTTGCCTGGCTATGTCAGGACCCGGCATATCGACATCTACAGCAGCTCTAATGCTAGAAGAAGTGCTCTCCTCTCGAAAAGGTACCATATCAGTCATCCATGTTAACAGCCACAGTCCAATCAAGGGGTTCTTCCAAGTCGGCAACGACAAAGCAGATGCTGCCGCAAAAGGATTGTGGACCCTACAAGAAGCTCGTCAGCTACACGAAACCCTGCACATCGGAGCCAAAGCACTAGCAAAGAGATGTGAAATCTCAGTTGCTGATGCAAAACATGTAGTAGCTTCCTGCCCCCACTGCCAAAAAGCACCACTGTGGTCCTGTGGAATCAACCCCAGAGACCTAAAAGCCTCAGAGATATGGCAAACAGGCTTTACATTGTGCCAGCTGTTAAAACCCCAAGCATGGCTTGCAGTAACAGTAGATACGTACAGCGGAATGATTATAGCCACGCAGCACCTGAAAACCAACTCCAAAGCAACTATCCAGCATTGGCTAACAGCCATGGCTTGGCTCGGCATCCCCAAGCAAATCAAAATGGACAATGGTGCAAATTTTATCTCAAAGCCGAGCCAGGAATTCGCCTCCAAATGGGGAATCACTCTAGTGCAAGGCATCCTGTACAATAGCACAGGACAAGCCATCGTTGAGCGAGCAAACCAAACCGTAAAAGCCAAACTGGAAGTGTTGGCAAAGTCAGAAAGCTTTAACAATTCCATTCCCCAGGCAGACCAGGCGTGCTTGCTAGCAACTGCACTGTTAGCACTGAACCAATTCCCTAGAGGAAATGAAATAAACAGTCCCTCCCAAAAACACTGGGCCACTCGAGCTCTAGAAGAGGGCCTGCAGGTCATAATCAGAAATGAGTTAGTGGAGTGGGAGCAAGGTTGGAGATTAGTACTCTCAGGGCGAGGTTACGCTGCAGTGAAAAGAGATGGTAAAGTGGTGTCCACTTAAGTCAATAAAACCAGACCTTAAAAATGAAACTGACAAGAACTCTGAAGTTTTGTTTGCAGGACCTGATCATTGGGTGCCCGCGTGATGCATATGTTCCACTGCCAGAAAGAGGCGATGAACCACCAGACAACCCGAAGACGCCCAAAACTCCTGAGCCTGTGAAACCCAAGTGACAACAACTTTTGTGTGTAATCTTGTTTTTAGCACTTGTTAACAGCGAGCAGGTTGGTGCAGAATATAACCCCCATCAACCATTCAGGTGGATCTTACGCCGTGCCTCGAATGAAGTGATCAAAGAAGTAGTCACAGCAGGCACCCCAAAGTTCTTTGTGCTCATTCGAGACATTTTTCCTGGTATTGTAACTCATAACACCCACCCTCGCTTTGAGCTGTACCAGTCATACTGGTGCTCAGCCACCAACCCAGGCAAAGACTACTGCCACCAACCAGGGTATTGGTTTTGTGGCTATTGGGGATGTGAAACAATAGTCCTGAGTAACAGGTGGGCACCACCAAAAGCAGACGAGTTTCTGCAGGTAGCCTGCGGTCTGGCAGGCTGTATGCATCCCAGTTTCAGCTCTATAGGGCAAGTGTTTTATGGCTTTTATGATGACCAATTTAAAGTCTGTCATCAAATGATCATGCAGGTTCTGCAGCCAGCAGATGTGGGCTGGATCACCGGAAGAATGTGGTCGGTATTCTTGCACAAACCTGGTAAAAATCCTGGTGAAGTAGTACAAATTATCCAGCTCCCAGTTATAACACCTGAAGCAGTTGGCCCCAACCTTGTAGTACAAGCTGAGAACCCACGATCTAATAGTCTATACCCACTGCATAAGCAAGAAGCTTCTCCCCAAAGATCTGAAGCCGCTGCTTTCAATTTGCTCTATCGAATGTTAGATGCCACCTTTTTACCTCTAAATCAATCCAACCCTAATGCCACAGAATCCTGCTGGCTGTGTTATGACACACAGCCCCCTTACTATGAGGCTGTGGCCCTTAATAACCGGCCGCTGTGGGTTAATGCAGAAGCCCCAGTGCAGTGCCACAGTGAGTCACCTTCTCGCAGAATCACCATCAGCCACATGACAGGGCAAGGGTTTTGCGTGGGCAAAGCCACTGTTGTTGACAAAAAAGTTTGTGCGACCACCGTGCAAGTGGACAGGTCCAAGAGATGGGCAATCGCCCCCCCTGTCTGGCATATGGGTTTGCAACTGCAGTGGGCTAAGCCCTTGCATTTATACCCAAAGCTTTAACTCCTCTGTTGACTTTTGTGTATTAGCTGCTATCATCCCCAGGGTCCTATACCACTCCAAAGAAGAAGTGAACCAGTACCTTGAACAAGCAGACCGCCTCCAGAAAAGAGAGCTGTTGACAGGACTGTCAATAGCAATGCTGCTTGGCTTGGGAGCGACCGGTGCAGCCACAGGTGTCTCTGCCCTGGTAACCCAGAGTCAGAGTCTCTCTCAGCTACAAATGACTGTAGATGAAGATATACAGAGAATTGAGAAATCCATATCCTTTCTAGAAAAATCAGTCTCCTCACTCTCTAAAGTTGTTTTGCAGAACAGGCGAGGTCTCGACCTTCTATTCATGCAGCAAGGAGGCCTCTGCATCGCCCTGAAAGAAGAGTGCTGCTTCTACGCAGACCACACCAGAGTAGTGAGAGACACCATGGCAGAGCTACGAGACAGGCTGTCTCAATGGAAAGCAGAGAGAGAAGCTCAGCAAAGCTGGTTCCAATCCTGGTTCGATCAATCTCTGTGGCTAACCACCCTGGTGTCTACCCTGATTGGACCAGTTGTGATGATTTTACTCGTGCTAATCTTTGGACCATGTATTTTAAATAAGCTTGTGTCCTTTGTTAAAAGCCGACTAGAAAAAGTTAACATTTTGTTTATAGAAAGGCAACAGATGCTTTAAAAATATACTTAGTCATTGCATGTGCTTTATATTTACTAATGAAAATTGTAGTATCTATTTTATAAGCTTTTAGCTTTTTAGTTAAGTATAATGTATCCTATATTTTACTCAATTTTATATTATCCATTTTTAAAACTTTTATAATATAGATAAGTTAGACAAAGTGTTTAGAAATATGTATATAGAAAATAACATTATAATTTTTTAAGACTAATATACCTTATATTTTAGCAAATTAGTTATTTATAGAGAGAGGGGAATATGTTGTAGTCTAGAGCATAGCGGAGCAGAAGAATTCAGGATGTAACGGAAAGTTAGCAGACCCCCCTCTCTGTTAGGATAGTAAGGCCTTCTGCAATTAGCCAATAGCACCTAACGATGACAAAAGCAGATGGGAGTAACACAATGACCCTAGGTTATAGAATGTTAAATTCCCCTGCAATAAACACCATATTTGCCATCCATCACATTGATGCTGTGGGTTGTGGTCCGTGCGGCTGAAGATAGCCGCCATGCTGGCTCTGGCCAGGGTGCCTGCCTTGCTTGAAAACCATCAATATATGTACTATATTTTGTTGTTCCTTCACTGTTCTCATAGACCTTTGTCATTCACTGCCCTAAACAACTATGTCCTTTTCAAATCCATGAAAATAACCCCTTCACACTGCTGCATATATTTCAGTAATTTACTAGGCTGTCCTTATTTGTTCAGCATTATCTCATTTGTTCAAAGGCTGTCAATTATTTTTAACTGTAGCCAACCCAGTACATTGATTTAACTTCTTGAGTGTAAAGGCTTAAGACAGTTTCCTTTCACAGTGAAACAAGGCTCTGCTGCTTCCAGTGTTCAACACCTATTTCATCTGAGGCAGATTTTTGGAGCCTGTGAGTAATGCTTCCTTTTACTTGAATGCATTTAATTTAACAATCTTTCACAGTAGTTTAATTCATTCCAGCTAGTTAGTGAACATTCATAGCACCAGTATAGTTTTCCTCTAAAAATCAGTAAATTTAATATAATGAAAATTATTTCACCAACACTTGCCTCTAAGAGTCTTCAATGGAATTTGAAAATAAGTTTGTGAATGAGCTCATGTTCAGAACCAATATAAAAAAGAAAGTACTTTATAGCAAAACATATCAGTCAGCAAAATCTGAAACAAAAGGAGACGACTACAGAGTAGAGGAAACTCTAGATAGTAATATTTGTAATATTTGTTTTTAATATGCTGCTCAGTCTGCATGTGACAGTCTCACTTAGGTTCTCTTCCAACAAAATTTTGAAATTCCATATCCATTATTCATTGTTCAGTGTTTTTTAACAGAACATTGATGACTGCCATACTTTTTTTCAGCAATACAGCACAGCTCAATTTACTGAAGTATGGGTTGTGCAAACAGCCTTTTGGGACACAGATTTTTTGAGCAGGGATGGAGATCTTGGTGATCCCAAGGATGGGTGTTCTACCTCAAGTGTAGGAGACAGGTTCGGGAATCAAGAGACGACCCAATGTGAGTTAGCTGCTTGTTCCAAATTTATTACAATCTTAGCTACATTTTTATAGTATTTTGAAAAGGTAACATGCAATCTGTATTCTACTATGATTGGATAATTGCTATTTTTCACGCATTAATTTCTACATTTCTATTGGTCCAGCTCACAACACCCGAGCTCTGTAAGATACTTTTTAGTAAAACTTATTAAGATACATTTAGCAGATTTCTCATCCTAAATTCTTATTCTTCATTGTCTTATTAACAATTAGTCTTCTTCATTTCTTTGATACAATATTCTGCCAAGGACTTATGCTAGCTCAAAATCAGGGCTGTGCAGGCCTTCCAAGGAGCTATGGCCTCGAGAAACAAGCCATTCTTCAACACTCAAGGACATCTGTGACACAAGCTCCCCACTGGGCAAGCACAGCTTCTGCTGGGAAATGCTTGCTGAATTTCAGAAAGAAGGACTTGGCAGTGTTCATATCTGTATAATCACTGGGTCATTCTCTGAGGAATACCCCACTATCAAATACCTAAAATTATTCTTCAGACAAATTACACTAAGACAAAGGAAAGTTAAAGATCTTTAGACTGCTCTGACTTCTGCATCTGTCAAAGTCAACATTGTAACTGGAAACATCTCACATTATTAGTGAAGTAAAGGGAGACAAAAAGAAAAGGAAACTACTTAAAGTAAGATTATATATGAGGTTTTTTCTCATTCTGTTGTTTCTGCCTTTCACACCTCAGGGATTTCCAGTCTGTCCTGTGATATGCTAGGAAGAAATTCCCCCTGATAAGGAAAACCATATTAGCTTTCTATAGCCAATGTCAGCTCTGCTATTGTTGCAGTCAGAGGCACAGGGTGTGTGCCCTTATCTTTGATACCTGGCTCTGACATCCAAGAAAGCACTGAATTTTATATAACACCATAGAAACAACTGTTAAAGTTAAATAGAAAAACTAAGAGTGCAAGTGTGTAAATAAGAGAGTTTTCTTAAGTCACTGGGTGAGAAAATCAAACTTTATGGTTTAAGCTAGTTTAGAAAATAAGAAGCAAGATGGAGCAATTAAGGCGTGGTCTCGTTTCCTTCTTCCTTCTTCATCTTCTTCTTCTAGAGGTTTTTGGGTAGTAGTAAGTGATTGGATAGAAAATGCTGCAGTGCAGTACACAGGCATTGGGGTCATTGGGTCACTAAGAAAAATAATTTGCTTGACATTTGTTAATTGGTTAAACAGACATATAAAAACCTTGAAGAAGACCTTCGTTAGCCATTTTGCACCTTTCTATCTTAGTGCATGTAGCTCCCTTGTACCTTGTATGCATGTAATGCAGATAAAAGAAGAATAAACAGCCAAGTCCGAACAAGAGAAAACTGCCTCTCTCTCATCAGTGTTCAGTCCAAGGAGGAAAAAGAACCCTGTTGATATATTTTATATATTAATAAAGGCCTGTCTGCACAAACCAGTCTTTGAAATAAATCGTGTTATTAAAGGCTAAAGTCCTTGAAACCTTCCTGCAGAAGAGAGAGTAAAGCAAAACAATATCCTTGTGTGTAGGAGAAAAAATGTAAACCTGTGTGTGTTAGCCAATAGTAGCTTGCTCTGCCCGCAGACCCTGTAAAACCCTATAAAAGGTGTGCTAAAGATAGAAATAAATGGTGTTCACATTTACTTCTGTGAAGGCTGGTGAATAAGCTGGCGGACTCTCAACAGAACCCGACTGCAAATGTTACAATCAGGACATGATATAGCATCCAGACATGTAATCTTTCTTTATGAAGCTAGTTGTTCTTCCTTGTCCATGACATGGCTTTGCCCTAGTAAGACAAGATTTAACTGATATGACTAATATGTTTTATTTATAAGTTTATAAGTATTCATTTATAAGTGTTGTGGGGCAGGAACTATCAAAAGAGGAAGGATGAATCTGGAGCAAGATACATGCCTTTGCTGCCATACTACACCTTATTAAATACCTTTCTGGGTTAAAATATGGTCTTGGTGGAAACATCTAACCAAAGTAACTTTGTGGTTCACTATCTGCAACTAGCTGCAGTTAAAATAATCATCAATTATCTGTCTTAAAATTATGGTGTGATTAAAATAGAATAGGACAGGCTATTTCATTTGGAGTGATATACAACAATAATCCAGTCCAACTGCATGACTACATCAGGGCTGACCAAAGTTTTATAGCAGGTTATTAAGGGCACTGTCCAAATGCCTCTTAAACACTGACAGGCTTTGGGTTTCAACCACCTCAGCAGGAAGCCTGTTCCAATGTTTGACCACCCTCTCAGTAAAGAAATGCTTCCTATTGCCATCTGAACCTCTCTTTGTGCAATTCTGAACCATTGCCAGAAGTCCTATCACTGAATCCCAGGCAGAAGAGCTCAATATCTCCCTCTCCCCTCTGCAGGGAGCTGTAGAGAGCAATGATATCACCACTCAGAATCCTTTTCTCCAAACTACACAAGCTCAAAGTCCTCAGCTGCTCCTCACAGCACATTCCTTCCAGTCTTATCACCAGCTTTATTGTCCTTCTCTGGGAACACTCAAGGACCTTTACAGCCTTCTTAAATGGTGGGGGCCAGCACTGTACCCAGTCAGCACCATCACTGAGTAAATCAAGATAATCATGTTATCTTGGCCCTGCTAGTGATGCTGTGTGTGATGCTCCCCAGGAGGGGATTTGGGCTCTGGGTTGCCACAGAATGTACTGCTGACTCACACTGAGCTGCTGCTGCTGACCAGCACCCTCAGATCTCCCTTCCTAGGAAGATCTAGGAAGGCTGCTCTTCAGGCTTTCCTCTCTCAATTTATAGCTGTGTCTGGTGTTACTCAGTCCTAGGTGAAGGATCCAGCATTTTGACTTGTTAAATTTAATCCCATTTATCAGATAGTCCAGTGTGTCAATCTACCTAGATCCCTCTGCATCTTGTCCCTTAAGACAGCCAAGGGCACCTCCCAGTTTGGTCTCATGAGCAAACTTCCTAATGGTGTGTCGAACTCCTGCTCCCAGATTGTTCATTAGCTTATTGGGCACTGGCCCAAGAGTGGAACCCAGAGGAACACTGCTGGTGACTGAGTGCCACACAGATGCAGCCCCATGAACTACAACTGTCAGTTGTAGATCCATGCACTGTGATCCCACTCATCCCAGAGCTGGATAACTTGCTCAGAAGGATGCTATGAGGGACAAATAAAGTTATTAAAGTCAGAAAAACTACATCTACTGCCTTATCTTCACCCACTAAGACTTATCATAGAATGATATAAAATTAGTTAAATATTATGTTCCTGTTGTGAGCCCATGTTGACTTTTATTGCTGGTGGCTGGCTCAACACCACTTTTCTAAGCACTCCATAACACATTCTTTGCAGTTGATCTGGTGAACCTGGACTTGCACTCAGAATTCCAATGATGATGTTTTTTCAATCTGGCAGCAAGAGCAAGTTGATGAGTTATTCAGGCTTTTTCTACCTCTCAGTTCATAACACTAAATTGTGTTTTTTAACATGTGCTTATCTCTGATTATTTAAAAAAAAGGGAGGAAGAAGGAGCATATGGCACCTATTTTTGTAGCTAATCAAAATAAGAAATATGTAGCAAGAAGTATGCAGTGAAAAAGAGATTCATAAGGACAAACAAAATGTTATACAGGCACCACACTTCCAAAACTTCAGTAAGAGATCTCATTCTATGTGACTGAGCCAGATGCAAAATACTGTTAATTAAAAGGGAAACATAAGCTATCTTGATAGATCCAACATAAGGAATATACATTGAAGGAGCATAAATGGTAAAACTCCTCTGAAACACAGATTCTAGTTCTCATTTGTTCTTCATGGTGTTGTTGAGTTATAACTATGTACTCATGTATTTCGTTATTTAGTCAAGTAAAATAAATAAAATTTCATACCATTTCCTAATCACTACTCATCTTTTACCTTATGAAATTTCTATAGTGGGCATGAATTACAGGAAGAGTTTAATGGTGGTATGATGTTACTGCTTTTCAAGCCAAACCTATTTATTTGTTGGAGTTTTAATTCTTTCTATTTCTGGATTAATGCCATCTTATAAAAACAGATACTCAATTATTTCAAGATAACTGAGATTTTTTTTTTTAATTCATGCTTCTGTATGGTACTTTGACTATCACCTGTCACACACCAGCTGCTGATTTCTTGGTATTTTGTAGTGGCACAGTTATTTGGAGGACTTAGAAGTTAAATCTACTAGACAAATTTTTAACATTTTCTACTTAAGTCACAATTTCAAGGTATTTCTTATGTCTGATTTATTGCATTTCTTTTGCATCTTTTGCTCAGCAGACAGCTCTTTGCTGAAAAGTAATTTTGCTTATTTACATTTCCTTGACAGTGTTGAAAATGTCATTAATTTTACACCATTGCTCTCCTGTTAGAGCTCCTTTTGATAGCTCTGCCTTCTTGGGTTCAGGTTAACCTCTCACATGCAAGATAAAAGCTGAGCTGTGAGCTGTGACTACTTCTGTGAGATTGTTCTGATCCTGTAGCTGTTTCACAAGCAGAATGTCAGTGGGCTAGGAGAAGGGAAAGAGGAATATAACTTTTTGTTGTTATTGCCAGTATATAAAACCATTTATTCAATCCAACAGTTTATTGCCAACAGTACCCAACACTTGCCACACTGGATCACATACATGGCAGCACTCTGTTTGATTGGAAAGGGTGGCTTTCAGGGAACCATTCACAAACAGTATTAGCAATTGGAAAAAGTAGCATTCAAACTTGTTCAGTTTACCTTCAGAATTAAAATGTTCTTGGTTTTTACACTAAATTGCTTATATAAACATACATGTATTTGAAATGTATGTTATGCAACAACATTATACCACTATTAGGAAAATGGCCTAAGGGTCAAAATATAGCCAGAGTAGTAGAATGGAGATCTCCCATAATCTGAGGAGAAGGTAATTACAATACTGCTAGGTTCTTTTTAAAAGCATGTATCCTCCTGTGCCTTAGTCTATTCCCAGTAGAGTTTTACAGTTTTTTGCAGCTTGACTCTTCCACAGCAACACCGCATGAAATTCTTCTGGATAATCTCAAATATATGTTTGGGAATTAATTATTTTAAATGAAAATGAAGATATCTTTAAAGAGTAATTTTAAGATATAAAGGTCCCATTTTGCACCTACTGTTTCAGGTTTCAATATTGTATTTGACTTAACTTACAGTGGTTGCTAGAGAAATCTACAATTTTAAAATAAACATTCTTCCCCAAATCTTTATGAATTTGCACCCAATATTCCTTTGGTCAATAGTATACTTTCTCTGCTGCAGAGCCTTGAGGGAAGAATCTCTACACAAAAAGAAGCAGATTGCAGTTAATTTCTGTATAGGTATTTACAGTAATTTCTGTATATTTTTAGTAGTTATTATATCATGACCAAACCAGTTTAAACAGTATTTTTTTACTTACAGTTACTCTTACGATATTTCCATTTCTTTCTTGTCATTGTACAATTCATATTATTGCAAAAACTAGCCCTGTAAAAGGATCCTTTTTGCTAGAATAATAATAAGAAAAAGACTTAATAAGAAATAAGTTATTGTGAAATTCAGGTTAACTTCTTGATCCCTTGGGATAATTTTGCTTGCAGTAGGCTTGTATATTTTGAATTACTGTTTTCTGAAGTGCAAGGCTGTTCTGCAGAAACCAAAGTATAATAATGAAGCACTGCACTTGAAGCATTACCAGCTTTAAAAGATAGGCTACTCTCTGCTTTCACCCAGCTGCTGATAGTTGCTGCATGGTATTTACCATGTGAAGCATGAAGTTTATTTTGTTCATGTTCCCCAGAGAATATCACTATGAAAATGTACTATTTTATTACCAGGTCTCAAAACTTTCTGCCACTTCTCATAAATTGCAAATTGAGATTCTAAATCTGAAAGATAAAAAACCCACAAAGAGGTGTGCAAAGTTTTTCTGCAGAAGTGAAAGCAAACTTTTGAGCATCATGTATAAAAGATTTTAAATAACAAATTAGAAATATTCAACAATGTTACTTGTGGGGAAAAAAATCACCTTTAATGAAAGATAATTTTTGATACCTTTTCTTTGTATAAATATGCTTAAAATAATTTCATACAATAGATTCTGTCTACATGTGTGTTATATTTCCAAGCACCTGATGCCTCTTATTCTTTGGAAATCCTTGTGAATTATTATACTTATTAATTACTTTTGAAGATCACATGTTGACAAATGTGATTAAAATGTGGTTTTTGTTCTTTTATAGAGACTTCTTTCACTGGCCTATAGTTAATTTACTCTTCAGCCTCATGCAACTGCAAGTATTGGTTTCCTCTGTGCAGAGAATCATTGGAAGCAGCCTCATCTATTCCATTACTGCCATAAAGTACTTTTGTGCTTGTACTTATGTCACTCCTGACAGATGCCTGTTGATCTTGATCTGAAAGGACTTTAACAAGGAAGATTTTACACCTACTCTATCCCACACTTATGCTGTTCTTGGCAGTTCAATTATTTCCTGAATATCTAATCACAATATCCTCCGCAAAAGTCCACCATTTCTTGCTCTATGTCGTGGTTTTAAAGCAGTAACTAAAAAATTACTTATTTCTTGCTGTGAGATATGGATTAGAACAAGAGCAAAACAGGCTTCAAACTTAAAAGGAATAAAGAAAGTTTATTAACAAACTACAAGAATAAGAACACCAGAATAAACTTCCAGAATACTCTTTTATCCCCCACTACCTGACCATTCTTTTGTACACGTGACAATATAGAGACAGAAAAACTTTAGAACTTTGGTGGTTAAAACAGTCCTAATTCTTGCTAGTCTTTTCATCAGCCTTTGTAGAGAAACAGAAGTTTTCTTCTGCTGATTTATAGTTTCTCACGAGAAAACTATTTCTGTTATAGTTTTTTATTTCTCTGATGCCAGCTGCCCGGAAATCTTGTTATCAGAGTTCACTCCTCCCATTTCACATCACTCTGAGGTGTGTATGGGCCATGAGTCTAGGGATGGCATTTTAAGGATGAGTTATTCAAAGGCAAAAGTTCTCTTCATCTGTTTCTGTGAGCTTCTTTGGAAACAGTTTTCTCATTGGCTCTCAAGGCCTCAACTCTTAAACTATTACTTCTCTCTTTCTGTTCCAGCACCTCACTGTATCATAATTATTCCACCTTTTGCTCAAAATCCAAACTTTGAACACTCCATTCCTCCCTATATACTCTGTCATGAATTAAAGGAGTTTTTTTCAAGACTCTATTGTCCATCTCTATAGCTTTAACAGAAAAATATTTCAGCTTATAAAGCATCTCCTTATTCTCTACCTTTTCTGAAGCTTCTTTTCTTTACTGTCTCTGATAGTTTATAAAGTCTCTTTACATGTTATTACTCTCTTTTTCTCTCTCTGGATAAAAGGATTAATCTGCAAGTCTCATCTAGGTAATGAAAAGGTTAAAATCTTGCCCAGGCTTTGTAGATAGTTCTGTGATCTCTGCCGGAGCAGCAGCTGGAGCTGTCTGCGATGGAAGATTCTTCATGGCTGCTCTGGAGAGTGTGGTCGCTGTCTCAGCCTGCCGCAGGTCAAGAGCTTTTTTTTCCTTTCTTTACTCGTCAGTCTCTGGTGAATTCAGTCACAGCAAAAACTGCAGCCGAGCCAGGGACTGGCCTGGCCCAGCCAGAGCCCGGGGCAAGCCCCGCAGGCCCCCATCTCCCGGCCGGGAGCCGCTGGGCCCAGCCCAGCCCCTGCCCGGGCCGCATGGCCTGGGCAGGGACCAGGAGGCCAGCTGAAGCTCTGTTACCTTTCACAGCCAGGAAACAAAAAGAGCAAGAAATTCTCAGGCTTAGGTCTTAAGGTGGTGTTCACAGGTTGATCTCACTGTTCAATGGTCAAAACTGCTGTCAATTCTTAGAAATGACTGATAATTGGTCAGGAGAAAAGACTCCCATCAGTCACCAGCAGCTTCAACTTCCTTAGCTCTCAAAACCACCTTAAAGGTAAAGCCACCCCATGACACTCTATTTGGACAAAGAAGAAGCTACAAATTTTGCTTGCTCTGGCTGCACTGAATCTTTTTAAAAGAAAAAAAAATTACAAAATTACTGAAAGAAAATTGTGAAATAAATTAAATTCAGCAGAAGGAGATGTCAAGTAATCCTATGCAGGAAAGATAAACATCCTAAAGATTGGACGGGATGAGTTGAAGTGTTTCCCTAGCAATTATGCAGAAAAACATACAAGAGACTATGGAGGATAATGACAAAACTGTGACATAACAGTGTCAGGATAGTGTGAAAAGGGATAAACATCACTCTGGCGAATATAAATAGACAGGAAAGCATAAACATAAAACCTAGACTATCTTACTCTACTAGGAAAGCTTTATTTCCCAGAAAG